TTGATCTTTTTTCAGTAGTTAAAGCACAGAAAACAAACACTTCTAATTAGAAAGCCAAAGGCTTCAATGTACTCTATGTATTTCAATTATGCCACTCAACTTTTTCATCACCATTTGAAAAGGGATCTCTATAAACATTTCTTTCTAAGTTTCTTCCATAATTGGAAACTAAGAAGCTAAACAAAAGAGAAAAAATGACTTGCGTGCATTGAAATCTTTGTTTCAGTGGAAAGTTTTTAGGATATTCCACACTTTGAAATCTGGAAAAATCCAAACTTATGAAAATAATGATCATAATGTTTATATTATTTCTTAGTCTTTCTCCTTTTCCTCAATTCCAGTGAAACAAACTTAAACTTGTCAGAGCATGAGCACCCTGCTCGTTATCATGGTCATCGCAATTGTTACAACAAAAAAATTAGCAAATATGTCTTAAGCTTTTTGTGCCACAAAACAGAGAAAGCTAACACAAAGATCATATCAGTCAAATCATCATCATTTCTACACTATGTTCATGATGCTTGCCTACCTGCACCCAGGTTATAGATGTGATGGGTCAGGACATCAACAACTTGAGGACCTGAAACTAGAAGGAGCCTAGAATACCAGTCCTTATCAAAGAAACCCCCTGGTGCTAAGACAAAAGGTCTAGGATGGAAACTCTTGTACTCTTCAATGATGATAGAATTCAGATTAGAAACATCTTTCCCATACTGTTCAGCATCAACACTGGCGCCAACTCCCTTCCCACTCAACTCATTACCTGCGACAACAAAACATAAGGAAACAATAAGGTTTATTATTTGTTTAGAATATAGTAAACACAATTAAGTATACAATTAGATGAAGAAAAGGTAGTCATCGAAATGAATACCAAATTCCCATGAATCTATATGGTATCCCTTAGAGATTGTGTATTTAATAAAATCATGGGCATTGCTAGAATCCCATTCCCCTTGCCAAACACCCCTTCTATTCTTGTGCCTCCCATATAGTGCATTGACGCCAAAGGTCACAAGTGCTCTGTAACAACATAATGCCAATAGGAACTTGATGAATTTCTGAAATAGTTGGATACATTTATAATGAGAATGAAATTCAGTAATTTCCGCCATACACTCAAATGTAGTTGTAGATGAGATCTTACCCTGTCTTTTTGAAAAAGCTATTCAACTCATCCCACCTTTTCATATGTAAGCAACCCTTTGAAAATCCAAACAACCCATCCTTCTGTTTCACAAATGGTGTGCAAGAAATGTTTCCAACATCATAATGAACTTGGTCTTGCAAAGAACCTCCAAGTCTTAATCTTAAATTCTTGAAAGCTGTTAAAACACCAATCGATAATTTAGCAATCACCAAATGCTTTTGAAGTACCATGGAAAAAATCAAAAGACAGCCAATCTAGCAAACTATCCTCAATGTGAAGTTTGTCACTTGACAATTTGAAGTATAAAATAGCACATCAGACATCTATTGGTACAATTCTGATACATCTACGAACTTTTGAAACTAATTTTCCAACAGAAATCAAATGGAAGGCATTTGACAGTATCTTCGCCAACCAATGCTCAAAATGTACAGGGCTTAAAGTTCATGCTCATTTGATGGGCTATTTTGGGACTGACTAATTAAAGTCCAAATCTTGATAAAAGAAGAGATTAGTGGTCTATTTTGCTTTCTGATCAAAATTTGATAAACTACTATCAATATAACAAGAACAAAAAATGGAGATGACCAAGCTTATAGCAGAGAAAGACAACCTTGAATGGCGTTGGAGAGAAAAGGATGAGACAAGTCCTGAAAAGACAAAAACACTTTCAGTAAACAGACACAAACTGTCTTTTGTAAATAGTAATTACACCCGATTTGTGTGCTGCGGAGGTTAAAGATATCAATAATCTGTAGAAGTTGAAATCGTTACCAGATTTAGAAGAGATGAAGATCCCCATGGGCACTGGTTATAGTTGCATTTCTCTTTAGGCCACCAATCAATGGTGGCACATATGTAATTAGTATCTGTCTCAGCAAATTTTGCTGTTGAATCAATGAGCAGTACTGCATTTCCTATATTTTGTGCCAAAATTGAGGGGAGAAATACCAGAAAGATTACACCAGATGTCCTCCAACCCATTAGTACACTAAAATAGCTTCACCTGAGAAAAATTGATTGTAAGAAAAACACAATCACGTAATTGAATAGATGATATTATCAAACATGTTATCTCAATAATACTTTTAGAAATTAATATGAGAAAAGAAACTTGGTAGCCCTTCAAAGTTCTTAGTCATAAATAGACTATCATTTTGTCTATAACATAGTTCAGCACAAGATGTGTGCAATGCTACAGTATCTAATCCGGAATTTGATTAAAGCTTGCAGAACATTAACATGTCATAGAAAAAGTTACCAATTAAATAGATCTAACAAAGATACAGCTTTAATTAAATAGATCTAACAAAGATACAGCTTTAACATAAGAAAGTAACAGAAATGCTTTTCACTTCTATCATGGTAAGTTGCATCCAAGAAAAGATAAAAAATTTCTATGTAAAACCGACTCAAAATAACCAATTTCAGGAAAGATAAGAACAGGTCCCTTCCAATAACGGTAAACCTTCAAGAACATAACTTGTTGATTACAGAAGAACATTAAGGCCTAGTTACCATATATAAACACGAATCAAAAAGCTGAAATGAGGTATAAATTTTAGAGACACAGAGCATGTATCACAGAATATGCTTAAACAGAGGAGCGGTTAACTGTGTCTGCATATCTAACACAAGTTTGTGATGTTTGCCATTCAGTTGCTAGTTTTTCAGACTTTTACCCTAAGCCAAGATTATAAGCAAAGCTAGTAGATCACAAGAAACCGAAATAAACCAATAAAGACAATACAATTCTTTAGTTCTTGCAATAAATAAGGCCAACTTAAATCCAAGAAACAACAAAAATTCTGGACTTTCCTCACTGTATTAAATCAAAAGATCCAAGACCCAAACATGGCCCACTTGAAATTTAAGCAAATTAAGCAGAACCCAGATGAGAACTCACCCCAAGAAGCACAAATCCACCATCAACAGGAAAGCTGAAGCTTAACTCCTAGACAGAGTAAATCAAGAAGTTGCAATGTACTTTTTCACCAGTAAAGACCAGAACTTTTCTGGCATTATTCATGTGGTTTGGATGCTAATGTCCCACTTAATCACAAGAGAAATGTGTGAGCTGAAATGGGTCGGAAACGTATTCAATTTTCTCTACTTATTTTTCGATAATCAGAAAAACTCAGCTATATCTGGCTCTTATGAGTTATGAGGTGTCAGCATCAGAGGTCAAAATCTATCATTTCTTTCTTAAGAGGTGTTTCTTGGTATTTCTATTTTCAAATCTTTATCATTTCTTTCTGGCCAGTTCTACTTCCAGGGGTTTGGTAGAATAAATTTCTTCTGTAAGCAATATTGTGTGGTGGCCTTACAGAGGTCAAAATCTCGTGGCTATCTTAGGTTGAAAGTTATGCTTTGGAAAAAAGGTAATGCAAATCAACATAAATTAATAGAAAAAATAAATGAAAAGAAAGGAATTGGGAAGGGAAGCGAACCGACAGTTATGTTATTGTTTGCACAAGATATATTTGGACTAATTAAAGAAAATATACAAAATAATGCGACCACAATAAGGGATTTAGTAGGAAAAGGACAGATGTCTTTGGTCTAAGTTTTTAATTCATGTTCTCTAGTGTTTTTGACAATTATAGCTAATACTTTGGTTTGACGGCTGGAGCAAGTAATAACTTCAGTTGAGGCTGACCATTGGACTTGTGGATCCATCAAATTAGGTAAAGTTTTAAATTGGAAAAATTGCTCTTTTTTTTTTTTTTTTAAGTATAAGTGAGAGGACTCGAATTCGAACCTCTCACTTACACTCCTACATCTGTACCACTCAATCTAACTCTCTCCTGAAAAAATTGCTCTTGAATATACGTCTCACTGCAGTATATGTGGAGATTAGGCCTTGTTTGGATTGCTTGTTTTCGTCGGAAAATATTGTCGTTTCCCGTGATCACATTTCCCTATCACCTTTTTTCCTCACATATATCAAATCGCTACAATAATTTTTCCATGAAAAATGATGGAAAATGCAATCCAAACAGTATATCCAAATTTTCACCTATTTTATTGTTAAAAAAATGAGAATAATAATTTGTTAATTTATAGACATATAGTCATGTATTTTCACTGTTCACAAAATGACAATAATAATTTGTTAATTTATAGCCACATGGTAATGTATTTTCCCTGTCTGCCTTTAGATAAATATGGGACCAATAGGACCAATTTAATTTATGAATCAGGGACCACATGAACCCCTTTTATCAACCAATAAATCAGTACTAGCCCCACCAAATTTGATTGGATTCTACTATTACAGTGTAACAAGACAAGTGCGACAAATCAACACTAGCCATTATTACATTAATTAAACAATAGAATATTCAGCATTTAAGAACTTGAACTTACTAGATCTGCCTACTTCTCATTCTTCAAACTTACAATTGACTTGCATGCATTTTGCTGTCCGATTCCTCCATCCTTGAAGTTCCAACGCCTCGCGCTTCCTTATCCACACGAACAGGTCTCAATTTTGCTCAGAATTTGCACACTTCGCACTTGGCTAAATTCCTAAATTTTTTGAATTGGGTCTCACGTTTTGACTGGATTTTCCTAGATTTATTACTGCTTGAAAGGGAACTTTCAAAAATACACCTTTATGGACGTTAAATTAGAAGTCCACTGGCTTTTGGGCGAAGGCACAGCAATAGAGGTCCTTAATTGGCCCCGATATTTAAGTAGGAGTATTATATTGGTGTAGAATAAAAGTCAATGATGAAATTGGCTTTAGTAAAAAGGGTTAGGGGCTAAGGTTGTGTTTGGATTGTATTTTTCGTCATTTTTCATGGAAAAATTACTGTAGCGATTTGATATATGTGAGGGAAAAAGGTGATGGGGAAATGTGATCACGGAAAACGACAATATTTTCCGACGGAAACAAGCAATCCAAGCATGGCCTCTCAAAGAAGTCAAGGTAGCCCTCTTTTCCATACATCTCAACAAATCTCCACATTTGGATGGTTTGACTCCTAAAGATTTTAGAATTTGGTTAAAAAAGATGTGATGGAGATTATTCAAGGTTTTTTGCATTCTAGTTTTTTGCCTAAGGCCATTAATGAAACTTTGATAATTCCAAAAATTGACACTCCACTAAATCTAACTCATTTCAAATATATTAGTTTATGTACTATTTTGTATAAAATCATTTCGAAGGTTTTGATTAATAGGCTTAAGCCTCTTTTGAACTCATGCATTAGCATCTCACAAGGTGCTTTTATTCTAAAAGGCAAATCTTAGACAGTAGACAAAGCTGCAGATATATTGTTGGGGCAATATTCACCACTTATGAATCGACAGCCAAGAAATTATCATCAAGAAGGACTGATCAATTGTCGGCAGGTAAGAATTTATTGGTATACCAATTGAAGATTGACGGAGAGTGCTCTTATTTAGTGTAATACGATATTTAGATAGGTTGATATTGATGCCATAATCGGCAGATAGAAACTTATCAATAGCATCGATTTGAGGCCGATCAATAATCGACATGATATCCAATATTTATACACCTATTAGTAAGCATGAACATATGCTAATATGTGCAGATATGAAAGGGAGAAAGGAAGCTGATTATGCTAGCTTGTGTATTAGAAGACATGCATCATATCAAGGTCCTAAAAATTAGGGACGTGTGAGTTATGAATTTTTAGAAGTAAGGAAGTGGGTAATTCCTACTCCCCCCATTTCAACTGATATGGCTAAAGTGGCAAGTGGTTTTCTTGGAGGTGGACCATTAAATCAGCAATGAACTTATGAAATAAAGGAGTGGACCATCAAATTAGCCATAAAGCCACAAGTTGGAGACCAAGCAGTTTTTGCTAGCAAACAACTATCCTAACTTGGAGGGAAATTTTTATCTATAAATAGGAGAAAGATGCTAGAAGAAAAAATGGAAGAGTCTTCACAGAAAAGGCTCCCACTTAGAATAGCTCTCTTCTTACTTTCATAGATAACTTTAGGATAGTTTTAGGATTTCTTTGTATAGCAACTATTCCCCTTTCATTTCTATTTTGCTTTGAATCATTCAACTTCGTGTTCCTAGTTAATTGCATGTTAGGTTCTTTAAATTGTTTAGTTGTTATGAACTTATTTCCCATCTCAAGCAAACTTCTTAATTTTCAGCAATCTTTATGGTCATGATGAAGTACTTTTATCAGTTTTCCTCTAGAAATCAGTTCTCTTTCCCAATGTTTTCTTTACCAACTACTTTGGCATGAATGTTAAGTTCTTGAGGTTACTTTCCCAATGTTAAGTTCGAAAAATATTTTAAAATTAGAAAAAAATAATTTTAAGTCAAGTAAAATTCAAATGCAAAAGCTTCTTACTCAAACAATTTCATATCCAAACTGGAGAAAAAGCGAAAAAAGGGTTAGTAGATCAGACAAACAAAAAAAATCAAGGCAACAAATTTAAAAAGAAAAACATGAAAATAAAATTACCATAAAAAAATTCACTTTTACCTTCGATATCTCTCGGAAACATAATTGGTAGCCCTAGAAAAAGATGGGGAGGCGGTTTTCATGAGAAACTTAGGTGGTTGCAGTAATTTGAAGAACTAAAAAACTAATGATTACCTACTATGGTCAAGCAAATCAAGAAGAATACAAAATAAAAAAAAAAAAAAAAATTCCTTGGACAGAAAAAAATAGAACAAGGAACAAGAGAAGAAAGCTTTGTTATGGATATGTAGCGTAGGCTGTCAATGGACAGATAACGGCAAAGGTGCCAAATTGTAGCATAACCGCCTTAAACAGCAATAGCGTTTCCCTGAGTTAACTTATTGGTCACTGAGAAATCTAGAAGAGCTGGAGGAGAGAATCCCCCATTTTTTCCCATTCCATGACTACGCAGCAAAACGAACCTCTTCAACAATGCTCTCCTATTATAACAGATGCATACATAGGTTTCCCTTGAAACAAGGGCTCATTTCAACATTGCCATAACTTGTGAACTATAATTGCCAATGTTAACTTCCATAAAACGTTGGCAATTATGGAAGTCACCGTTGGAAATTACAGTTTACAAGTTGTGGCAATGTCAAAATCAGACATTTTTTCAAGGAAAACCTGTGTATACATCCACTATAGTAGGAAGGGAAACCTGTGTATAGTAGAAGGCATTGTTGAATAGGTTCATTTTGTTGGGCAGTGATGGCATAGGATCAGGGGAACTAAGAGTTGTCTTAATAATTTGGAATCCAAAATCTTCAAAGTCACGAATGTGTGTGTATATATATAGGTGTAAGCAGGAGGTTTTGAATCAAATACATCTCACTTACACTCCCTCTCCATATATCAATATATTTATATTTATAACTACATCAATTTAAGGAATAATACCAATTACTGGTAAAAACATTAGCACCAAATAAGATTAATTAAATTATTTACTTAAGGAAGAGAGTATCGCCTTTCAAAGAATTCATATCTAGTACTAAAGGCATCATCAATTCAAAAGAGCTCCCAAAATCTAGTCATCATCAATAAGTCAACCATCCAAAGGGAACTAGACATTTTGGGCCCTTTAGTTTAAGTGATTTCTCAGGAATGTATTATATATTCAAAGCCATCATTTTTTATCCTCTTTGGGAAAAAAATGCACTTTTAGTACTGAAAATTTGGGGATTGGAACCAATTGAACCTCAATGTTTCGGCCAGAGCAAATAAAATATCCCCAATATTCAATTTTGAGGACTGCGAAGATGAAGAATATCCTACACTATGTTGATTTTGTTTTTGTTCTAAATTTCTCTAGTTTACAGGGTATCTAATACTTCTTTTCTTCATCTTTTATTCCATGCTTTGGTTAAGGGTAGGGTTGAAACTACAATTGTACTCTTGTAGTTGAAGATGTCTAGCATATGTTGATTTTTTAATTCTAAATTTCTCTAGTTTATAGGATATCTAATACTTTGATCTTTTATTCCAGGCTTGGGTTAAGAGTGGGGTTCAAACTACAATTGCACTCTTTTATGTCCAGCTTATGTTGATTTTTTTATTCTAAATTTCTCTAGTTTACAGGGTATCTAATACTTCTTTCCTTGATCTTTTATTCCAGGCTTGGGTTAAGGCCTTAAGGGTGGGGTTGAAACTACAATTGCACTCTTTTAGTTGAAGATGTCCGGCTCTTGGAATTTCATGTTGATTCTGATTGGTAAGCACCCATCTTAGATTTAATCGAATTCAAGAATCAATTGTTGAAACATCTACAGGAGTTTACTTATTTAAAGCCATTCAATTACATATACCTAACCTATCCGAACCAACCCATTTTATGAATTCTGTTTTTTGTAAGCTCTTTTCCCCCCTCTCCCTTCTTTATCATTATTCCACTAGATCCAATCTAAATGGACAAACAAATTGGTTAGTCCAAATCAAATTGTTGCTTATAAATATCATTATTAGATTGATCTAAGTTCATGCAGTTTGTTGTTTATTATATTACTATTTTCATTTGGTCAATCGATGAATAAAATCAACTGAAACGGGAATCTGTTCGCGATTTTTTTAATTTTAATTTGAATATTGAATAATGCGATAGAAATCTAATAGATTTTTTTTTAATTATTATAACGTGACAAGAGTTCATATTATAACTGATTTGGCATAAATGTTGATTCTGATTTGATGCTAAGTTTATATTTTAATTGTGAGCTTTAAAGTTTATATCTATTAAGAGTCGAGGAGATCTTGATAGGGTGAGCAAATTCGGTACGTACCGAATTCATACCCGAATTCAAATTCAATTTGGTAATTTGAAATAAGGTATTTGGTAATTTGGTACAAAAGCGGTATTTACCAAATTCTAATATGGTATGAAATAGGTAATGAGATTATGAATTTGTTAATAACCGATTTCGAATTCGTTTATAAAGAATTGGTTTAGTATTAGTATATACTACTAATATATTATTATATTATATAGGTAAATGCTATTAATAATAGTTAGTATATGGTATTATCATGTACTTATGATAATAATAATATATAATAATGTACAATATATTATTTTAATGTTTGTTAATTGTTATATGACTATAATAATACAAATATACAACAATACATAACATAATTATAATACTTATTATTTTATACATGACTAGAATTAGATAATAATTAATAAGTATAGGTATAATATATAACTATATTTAGTATAACTATAATACTTATTATTTTAATTAGGCCGGAAACTGCAATTAAAGGATTCAACAATTTTTTTTAAATGAATTCGGTTAACCCGAATTCATTACCGTTTCCGAATTCAAATTCGAAATTGAATGAATTTGGGTATCTTCAATTCAAATTTGAAAGCGGTTTAGATTTCTATAAGTCTAATAACCGAATTTACCGAATTCATATAACCGAATTACCGAATATGCACCGTTTGCTCAGCCCTAGACTAAAGTGATGTTCCAAACCTTAGAGTTTTGGTGTTGAATGGCCCTTCATGCCTTTATTTAATAGTGAAAAAAGTAAAATTTATAATCTATTGAAGAGTAGTTTTAGCTAATTTTGATCATTTTCTATTTTAAAACTTACAAGAACAAAACTTTCTAAAAGTTTTTAGATTTCTTTAATAAGTTCTACCCTTTTGTTTATTTTTTTTTAATTTCCTAGCATTTGTTAGTGGTCTTTCTGGAAGATTTTGGGAAGTAAAACTACTATGGAGGGATAATTTAGGAAGAGGAGAAGAGATACCTTATAACAATGTTATCTTGTTAGCTTTTTTTCTTTTTCTTTTTTGGTTAGCATATTCCCAACTATCAAAATACATTATCATATATATATAAGAAATACCATTAGATGTGCGTATTTTTTGCTATCTTCATGAACATAATATTATAAAAATTTCTTTTTTCACTTTATTTTCTTCTATAACTTATCATCGTTTCCTCAAAACTTCTTTGGAACTCAAACTTTTGTTCATATGTGTTATTACTAGGAATTAGTAGTTGTACCCCTTATTTTATGGGATATGAGCACCTAAACACCTTGTGATTTCCTTACAACATATAAGTTATTAACAATTTGCTATAGCAAAAAAATTATAATATCAATTTTCCTCAAAAAATAACAAACAAACAAGAAATTACAATTTGAATCATACCTACATATTAATTGGAAACGACAAAGCAAAAAGAGTGCATTGAAAAGAAAAAAATGCTTAAAATTTAAAAGAGATTAAGTTAGCATATCGCCATCATGTTTCCAACCGACTTTGACATTAACGCATTCACAAAATGACTTCAAGACATTTGAGTGACTTACCTAAAGTCAAATTTTCTGATGATATCCTTCTCCAGATAGGATATGAAAAAGATCCCAGCATATGGAAGTCAACAACATCGTAATTTATGTAGTGTTTTTGAGGATAATGAGGTATATCATTGTCTGTTACCAATTCCATTTAGCAAAAAGTGCTATGGTTGCTCTTACGGTTGGTGAGCTTTTGCTAAAAAAGATTTAGCCATCACATTGATCAATCCCTTCTCTGGGAAGACCATACAACTTCCTCCTGTAATGGAAATCCCTCATTTTGATCCTCCTTATGAGGAGAATGAGGAGTGTTCCGTTGATGGAGAAATCCCTCAGTTTGATGGTTATGACAATGACCAGGTTGAGGAGGGTCCAGCTGAGGCTTCAGTTTGCCTCAAACACTTGATTCATAAGGCACTCTTGTGCTGTGATCCTTGTTTGGATCCAGACGATTATGTCATTGCTACAATCCATGGAATAGCACCCATGGTTGAGTCCATAAGGTCGAGAAAACAATCCTGAAATTATCCTTACTAGTAGTTTGTACCTATTACTGATGTTCAGTTTCACAAGGGGAGGTTATATGTTGTAAATAGTCACAAGAGACTTGTTGCGGTCGACTACTTTTCTAGTAATGATTCATCAAGCAATGGGAATTGCTGTGGTGATTCATCAGATGACCGAGATGATTGAGATGTTACTACTGAGGATAAAGATGGTAGTGAAGATAGCTATGATGGTGATGATACCTATCAAGGTGATGCTCTAATGGAGTACTTGATAATAGAGCATCCTACACATTGGTCTTAATGTTCTAAAATGTCATATCTAGTTGAATCATTG